AGTCCCAATATGCTTTAAATTAGTTATATCCAATATCCCCTGTTTGGAGTATTTTGCTCTAAAAAATCTTGCTCATAATGAATCTGAAGATAGAAAGCGCCAAGCAAACTTCATGTGTAAAGCCCGTTGAACATCTTCAAATTTTCAAATCCCAATCCCTCCCTCCAACACAAGTCAGCACAATTTGTCCCACACGCACCATTTTTTCTTTGTCCTCCCATTAAATCCTCCCCAAAAAAATGATGAAAGAATGGAATTAAGCTTCCTAAACACAGATTTAGGAATACTCAGCACCGATAATAAATGAAGGGCCATACTGGAAAGGACATGACGTAGAAGCACTAGCCTCCCCCCTTGGGACAGTAAAAGCATCTTCCAACCAGCAATTTTTTTTCTAAATTTTACCAATTAGAGACTCCAAGTGTAGAGCACTAAGCCTTCTTTGCACAACCGGCACCCCTAATTACAACATTGGAAATTGGCCCTCTTTAAACCCTGTCTCTCGTATGATATCACTTTTCTGCACTAAAGAACACTTTCTTGAGAAAAACTTGGCCGACTTTTCTTTATTGATAAGTTGCCCAGACCAATCTTCATATATTGCCAACACTTCCATTAATCCTTTCATCAACTTGTTACACCCATTGGTGAATATAACAAGATCATCTGCGCATATAAGGTGAGAAACCAAAGGAGCACCTCGAGGATGAGAAAATCTCCCAATTCGTCCAGTATCAAAGCTTTTCTTCAAGAGTCTAGTTAGAACCTCCTGTATAATAATGAAAAGATAGGGAGAGAGCGGGTCACCTTGCCTCAGACCACGCGTGGACTTGAAAAATCCTTGAGTGGTGACATTCATCATAATTGAATACCTATTCTTTGTTATGCACTGGTCAATCAATCGGCAAAATCTATCTAGGAAGCCAAAAGTTCGTAAAACATACCTCAAAAAAGGCCAGTCTATCCTATCATAAGCCTTTGACATGTCCACCTTAACCATCACATTCCTCCCTTGCATCTTTTTATTCATAGAGTGTACTAACTCCTGCGTAAGAGCGATATTTTCAACAATGTTTCTTCTAGCAATGAAAGCTCCTTGCTCAGCTGAAATGATTTTAGAAAGTAAAACAGCCATCTGAGATACCAGAATTTTTGAGAAGACCTTATAAACTACAGAGCATAGACTTATAGGTCTGAATTAATCAAACCCATTCGGTTCCTCCACCTTCGGAATGAGGACAATATAAGAGGATGTGTAAAACCGATCAAGCTCTCTTCCTCCAAAGAAATCCTGTGCAGCTTCGACCACTTCCTGTTTGACAATATCCTAGCATTTTATAAAAAAAACTTGATCCAAACCCATCCGGCCCAGGGGAACTATCCATGGGAATTGCAAAGACAGCCTCTTTTACTTCATTCTCAGTTGGCATAGCACAAAGGTATTGACCCTCTTCATCAGTCAAGGTATCATCAATTAAACTAGATAAATTTGGTACTGCCCCCATGTGTTCTTCAGTAAGAAAATTCTGAAAATATGTCACTGCCTCCATATGTATTTGTCGAGGAAAAGATAATTGAGTTCCATTCTCTAGCATCATCTGGTCCAACCTCCTATTTTTTCGCTGTTGGGCAATCACAGCATGAAAAAACTTAGTGTTGTTATCCCCCTTCCTAAGCCACTGCTTCTTTGCTACTTTAGAGAGTCTAATTTCTTCTCGCTTCTGCCATTCCTCTAACTCAATGTTGGTCACTAAAAAATGCTGTTCCACCTCATCCGAGAACCCCTCTTGCAATGACTCTTCAAGTATCTCTACTCTCTCCTGAAGCTCTGATATAATGTGGTCAACCCTTCCAAAGACTTGTTTATTCCACACTTTTACCGCCACTTTAGTCCTTTTTAGCTTTCCAACCAACTTATGTAGACCTCCCAATGCCACATCCTGATTACAATCCACCCACGCTTCCTTAACACAAGACATAAAGGATTTATGTTCACACCATATACGCTGGAAACGAAAAGGTGAGGGTCCATGTGAGACCATTGGCTGCTTAAAATCTATAAGTAATGGACAGTGATCAGGTGTCTCCTTAGCCAACAATCTCAAGCCCATATTCGGGAGCAAACTGGTTACCATAGAATTAGTAAAATTCCGATCAAGCCGAGTCCAACTCCTTGCTGCTCCATCTTAGCCATTACACCATGTAAACTTCCTCTCCTCCGAATTTAACTCTATCAGCCCACATCTATCAATACAACAATTAAAATCATCCATCGCCACCATTGGACGTGGTCTCCCATCCCTCCGCTCTGAATCATTTCTAATGATATTAAAATCACCAGCAGCAATCCAAGGTAAACTGCTAACCATAATACTCTCCAACTCCTGCCATAGCAACCTCCTTTCTAGAGCAGAACATTTAGCATAGACGAAAGAAATCATTGCCGTACTTGATCCCTTAGTAAAGATGCCATGTAAAGCTTGGTTCGATGCTCCCACCCAATCTACTATGAACTTCTCTCTCCAAAAAATCCAAATCTTTCCCCCTCTTGCTCATTAGACACACAATTTGCAAATTTTAATTTTCTGGCCAACATCCTCATCCTATTCTCACTTTGAAAAGGCTCTAACATTGCCAAAATAGCTACATTATGTTTTCGTACCAACTGACCGATCCTCTGTCTTGACGTGCCCACTCTTGCACGTTCCAAATCAAGCATTCATCCATAATAGATTCAACCTTTCAGGGCATGCTCGTGCCCTATGTGAAAATCTTACTGAGGGACCCTTATTTTTTCCTTTCAATATCCTGCCTAACTTTGAATCAGAATTACAATCAGCATGTCCATCCTCAACCTTCTCTCCATCAGACCCACCGTCTGTTACATTTCCACATGTATTTTCATGTTCAAAAGTATGATTCGCATCTATCATCACCGAACCACCTTCCATATCCTTTGTACTAGATTTAGAGGAGTTAATGTGACCCTTCACGACTGTGTTTAGCTCATCACCACTCACGACTTCCACCTCACCTTCCTCTAATATCTCAGCCTGGTTCTCCGTTGAATTCGTATTGACGACATCTTCACTCTCCGACAGAAACACATCAATAGCCTTGCATTGAACTACATTGTGTGTTTGTTGAGCAAATATCTCCTCATCACCACGACCAAAATCTTTAGTCATCGAGAGTCATTCTCAATATGTTTATGATTTTGCTCAATAACTTGATGACAAGCCTAATTCTCCTTGGATTTAGCATAGTTTAAATTTTCTTCACCTTCATTTACCTTCGTAGTTCCACTTGGCATTGCATCATCAATCTGCTTAGTCCCACTCGGCTCTACAACATTAACCTTCTTAGTTCCACTTGGCTCAGCAACATTAATCTGTTCTACCACCAACCTACCTTCATTTTGTAATTTTCACCATTCTCGTCTTTCCTTCACCACTGGGTCATCTTTTTTACTTTTTCCTTTCACTGGCTGCACATCCTGTCCAACTCTACAAACTGCTGCAGGATGCCCCTGTCTTCCACATTTCTTACAATAATAGCCCATCTTCTCGTATCTTACTTCTTGCCATATGGTCTTCTTGGATGAAATCGTTATCGAAAATCCCTTAACCATCTCATCCAATAAATCCACCTCTACACACATTCTCGCCCCCGTTGTCCTTGTTCGATTCAAAGTGGCATGATTTGTACCCAAAAATCTTCCAAACAGAGTTGCAAACATCCGAAGACAATCTGGTCTATATAAGTGCATTGGTAGTCCAGGAAGGAAGATCCATTGCGATGTAGTAGAAGGTTCTTGATTCAGATCAAAATCAGGAGTCCATTTGAACATGTGGAACTTAGCACCCGCCAAAGACCTGCCCTCTCGAGCCCAAACATGATAGAAATCGGCTTCATTCTTCAATTGGATAAGGACGTGAACAGCATCCATAAAACTAATATTGGAGCCTCTTTCAGCATCCACATTTTTACCACCACCAGTCTAAAATCATCAATATTTGGCCGTGTAACCAAGAATTTTAGCACTAAAGTAAATCTGAGATAATCCACAAGCTTCTTTGTCTCATGATCTGTAAAAGAAAATCCCAGCAGCCCATTAATCAGTGTTGGGTTTTTCATTGGAATAGGAGGAGATGTTATCACGTTTCCGCCGCCCAATTGTGCAACTTCTAAGAAAGATCTCCTCTGTTGTACAGATTTGGTTGAATCTGTATTTCCACCGGGATTCGACGGTGGTGCCAACCCCATCTGGGTAGTCACCACCACCATGACGGCGTTTCTCGAGAATGAACCCTACCCTATTTGCCAATTGATGGAAGTTCCTGAAATTGTGGAGAAAATTTTTTTGAGAGAGAAAGTTTCGCTCGCAAGGCACAATCAACTGATCTTGTGGGTTAAAGCCCTAGAGCTACCGACTTTGTCGCCAAATTCTTGTTAGAATTTTGGGGTGACCCAAATTATTTCGTTTAAATAATTGTAAAATTCTAATTGAAGTGCACATCAAGGGTAATTCTAGTTAGAATGCTTTGAGGAATACTATTCAAATTTATTTGTCAAATTCTATTTAAAGTTCTATTTTAAAGCCCATTGAGAGTTGGAATTTGAGTTAGACTTGAAGAGTTCAAATAAAAAAACTTTTAGGAATTTTATTTTATCTACAAGGGATGGATGTTTTCCTATAAATTTGAGGCTCTTTTGTCAGTTTCATAAGAAGTAATTTTGCTAAGTTGTACTTGTTTTCTCCATATTGTTCAATAATAAACATCGTTCCTCTACGATTAACCCTTTTTGTTCTTTTTTACTTTTAATGTTTTTGTGATGTGATATCGTTTACTTCAATTTTGTCATTAAATCTCATTATTTACAATCCAGTTTAGAATCAACAAGTGGTATCGGAACTTCTGCGCCCAACAATTCCATCATCAAAGCCGTCAAACTGGATATTTTCATTCAAGCAGTAATTTCTTTATATTAGGAGATTTATTTAGATAGTTTTCTAGAGTTTGTGTTTATTTAGAATCATAAGTTAAGGTTTCTTATTTTTCTTTAAAATCTAGAAACGTAGTTCATTGTAGCTTTGTTGTTTTATGAATATATATGAGTTTTTTTTTCCATTATCCTAATTATTCGGTATTCATATGGAATCAAAGAGTGTTTGGAGTGATAAACATCTTTTACATATGCTTCTATGCATCAGTTTGGTACCAGAGTACAACAATGTTCCTAATAGGGACTGTTTGGTGTTCGTAGAACCTTGATAGCAAAAATCATTTGATGCGATGAGTTAACCCAATTGAGCCTACAAGAGACAGCGTTAGAACAACTGATAGAGATTGTTAAGAAAAATATGAATTGTATTATTATAAGGTCTTGTTGTATTACAATGTAGAAGACCCTATTTATAGGGTTACAAATAACTACAAAAGCAAATAAACCTAAAAGGAAATAGCTCAAAAGGAAAGATTGTGTAATAATTACACAATCAACTAATAAGGAAAATAATCCTATATAATTGGAAAAATATAATAAGATATTATTCTAGACTATTTTCATGTTCCATATCTTTAACACCCCTTGATGTTGCTAAAAGCATCAATTTGTAATTTTAAACTGCGAAGATGACAATAATTGTGCCCACGAAGAAGAAATCCAAATCAGAATAACCAACTATGAAAACTTGTGACGGCAAGAGACCAAGAACAACTCCAAAGCCACTCCAAGAACACTTTAGAGAACTCACTCCTTAAGAAGAATTTTCAAAAGAAATTCAAGAAGTGTGCCAACACACACATTGAGCTCTATCTGTCGGGAGAATTTAGCCGAACACATAATTCGTCTTCCAACAAAAGCTTTAACGCCAATACACCAGCCAAGATTTCAACAATATATTGCTAACCAAGATACTGCGGTTAGAAGAAATTTCACCGAACAGCCTACACCGAAAAAACCAAAATGATCATCCTTTGAGAATCCAAAACTCTAGCTCAATACCCAAGCAACCGAAACTCAACGATTTGCACTCCCATGTCTTTCTCTCTCCAACCAAAAATAGAAAATCCCTTTTCTTTTGGCAAAAAAGAAAAAAAAAAATCCATACTGTATTGCGGTTCTCAAACACACCAAACCATTAATATACAAAGATCTACAAACAAACCCAAGCAAAATTAGGTGCCCAATAAAGCCCAACTAAAGAATCCGATTCTATGATTTGTGGATATTCCAAGATGACAAAATTTCAGCCCACTTCAACCTAGCACTCCAATTATCTAATTCAACCCCTTAAATCAAATCAACCATATACAGCCCAACATAGCTTCAACCTAATAAGTATCCCACAAAATCGTAGCCTAATAATTCATCCAATATACTAATAAGGTGGCCAAACTTAGAGCAAATATTGCAGTCTAACTATGATAAAACCCAAAAATATTAACCAAAAAGACAGCCTAAAAACACAAACCAACACATACGCAGCCCAAATGATTAATCCAAAGCATATATAAATTTAGAGGAAATTACACCTTCCCAGGGCTTTCAAGTTCACTGTGCATAAATCATGGGTCCAACTATTCTAGTCAAATGTCCGGTATTAGAGTAATTAAAAAACTACTTATTTAAAATAAGTGCGGTTCCATAGTTAATGTGCTTCAAATCTAATCTTTCTTCATTCTCTATCAAACGAGTGAAAAAACCCCCAAACTTCTCCCCACAATCTCTGATAAACAACTCCGGTAGTTACCAATCCCACGAATATCTCCGGTTAGTTATCCCAAAGCGAACTGAGTACATTCTTCGTCTACCTCGTCAATTTGTCAAAAAACTTCCCATTTTACGGTTGACAAAAAAATGATTAAACCCAAGGTGACAAATGTCCATTCCACGCCAGAAAGGAGAGGAAAGAGGAAGCATGAGGAAAGCCCAATGAAACCCCTTATGGAAAAGTATGCGGCGTCATCTGTGACCTTGTGAAAAGTCCAATCGAACATGGTATGTTGATTTTTATGTTCTGTTAATACATTAAATGACGGGTATTAATTGAATAATCGTTGGGTAACATGTATTGAAAACGTATTAAAGATATGTGACCTTGAAA